GAATTGCGATAAGGGTGACACCGAATCGACAAGGGGAACCCAGTGTTCAAGTAGCTGATAATGATTCCCATTTCACAGAAAAGAGGTCCGACAGCTGTTATAACTCGTGGCTCTTTACCCTTTCAATATGACTAAATGATACCGCCAATTAGAGAGCAGTGCTTTATCGACCGCATGACGCACAAAACCCGTACGAGCGGTCTAGAGTCGTTATCGGCTCTGCTGCCAGCCAAGACCTGGCTGTTAAGTCCAGAACACCAATCTTAGCCTCTGAGATATGAATCATATATTTCAAACATACTGCGTTTATTTACAAACCGAACAGACCACATCGTACCATAAAATAGGAAATAACATTTGTACAAGATATATCCAAAAATGACTGTGAATATGGAAGGTAGTAATTGATAGACCAGGCATAACTCAAGAATGTTAATAGACTGGAAAGAACTCAAGAACAGGAAGTCGTACAACAAAGCTTGTAATGAAAGAAACATGAATATGAATAATTCAGCTACTTAACAATTATTCAATAAAAGTATATGTGTAGCATTTGTAATGGAAAGAGGACGATGAAAATCCCTCCCCAGCACTTTTGTTTGACTGTACTGTCATTTGTTCGTTTCTTCTCCCTGTCGTGTATTTTATCCTTTGTTCAGATCTCGCTTAACCACATCTTTTGTTCTTCAACCTTCCTCGTCTGAGCTTTTATTATGTGACTTTGATTAGAGACTTATCTTTTGTTACCTAATTTTCCAATGCATGTTGCCGTGCTATTGACAATAAGGTCGTGCTCCACTAAGCTCAAGGTCACGACATGGTTCACTGTGGCTGTTAAACTTTTGAGTGTCTGCTTGGGAGGATTTCTGGAATCCCTGCAGATAGATATTTGGTCCCTGCTTGTTGGGAATATTATTATTGATTTTTGTTAGAGAAACTTCTGACTGTATAACACAGGCTGTACCGTTTGAGGTATTTTGTATGTTCGATATATTTTGTTATATTTCCTAAATTAGGATCGTTTTCATTGATCACAGAGTTTATGTTTTGACACAGTTTAATACCAGTAACTCAAAAACGCTTCGTACGCATTACAGAAGAACGCAGTCTGGCCTTTTCGAATAAATTTTGGTTCGTCAGTCCTGCGTTCAAACCGAATACCGGCAGTTCCGTTGTTAAAGTATTAGTCCAGAAATAGATTTCATTAGTTACCATTCATTATTCTCATCAGGATATAACATTAGCTAGCCCGCAGATTTTGAAAACCGTAATTTGTTAGTTGCTTCAAATAACCACCACTTTAATGGTTAAGTAGAGAATTTTGTTCAATCTTTAAAAAGTGATAATCTAATCGAACGCTAATCTAATAATCTAGAAAAATGCGTCCGTATTTTCCGGTCTCGAATTTGCATTGCATAACACTTCAGTTAAACTCGGTAGATCTCTCATGCTTTGAACTCATTTAGCTAACAAAACATCATCAGCAATACAGTTCTTCTGAGGAACCGACTATCAACCATCTGCGAGAATCGCGATCCAGGAAATGGAAAGTCAGACGGCAAGGATTGCCGATTAAAATGATCGGTCTGTCAACAGCATATATACAAAATAGGTGAAAAACAATGAAGCAGGTCACTCCAATTTGTATCCTAATCATCGCCTAGCTAATCATAGTTATGTAGATAATTCTAAACATAGGGGACAGATAGTCTCAACTTAAATCCTAATGATCTTTCTGTTAATAATGATGCCTTAGATAATTCATGGAGATGAAGAAAATGAAAAGAAGAACTTTGAAACGTTGAGGTTCAACCCGATTTCAAATAAAACCACGGCACATTACTGATATATAGGCAAACAGTCAACTTGTGACAAGTGTGGTGAAGAACTGATACTTTTACCGTACAATTAAATATCTCGTGTCTCGTTCAAATCTTTTATAACAATGTACTGGAATTTCATTCTGCATACTCTGAGTTCCAGTTCTTGCTTTTCGCTTGCTGAAATTCCGGGATCACCCTGGATTAGTAGTGATTCATCAGACCACTTCAAATTCACATTTAATTAAAATCAAAGAAGGACCGCCCAATATCAGTTTATGGACGTCATTTTTAAGGGGTGAAAATCAAATGAGAAGTATATCTCCGCAGTAAATGTGTCTGGTTAAGCCCAACACACATTTCGTTATCCTTAATCAAAAATTCTTGAATGGTAAGACAAAAATATCTTATATGCGTTAAAAGATAATTCCTTGTAGGAATAAATACAAACGTAAGTGAATTACTCAAAGGTTCTACTTAGATCTATAGTCAGTTAGTTACATTATGAACATTGCTTGTGTAAGTCACTGGTAATCCTATAGTTATTTAAGGGGTAACAAGAGCCAGTTTCCCAGAGAAAACAATCGACGTGACTCTCAAACTGAATTACAGATTTACTGCAAAAGAGGCCTACTAGTAGTGGTAGATGATGTTGGAGATAAGCGATCCTATGGGTGGCAGAAAGATATGTTACTACGTAAAGTATTGTTTATGATACGGAATATTATTATGTGGTCAACTACCGTCAAGTGTACGATAAGGTAAAGACATCCTATCATCTTTATCGTTTGCCATGGGAGATTTTTGATGAACCAGCCACTAAATTACTTCTGGTGTGTGAAACAAGCTCAAATATCTCACCATTTTTAATAAGCTACTAACTATCTGTTCAGATGCATGTTTTATGGAGTGATGTAATATAAGTGAGTTGTAGCGTCAGTGAAACGTCACTGAGCCCTAGACAAATCATCTGGCGGTCATGGCACTGAAAATCAAACTGATCATCGATCCTCGACAAGGTCAAGGACAACCAGCACGCATCACTTGATCATATAACATGGACTGGCCCATATGGTGGTGGTCTCGATATTTTCTCTGTACTCATTCTTACCAATATATTTCCATAATAACATCTTTTGTGTTATATGGCCTTCAAAGTAGTCATATTACTTTGATACGTCGAAGGAATAATCCACGTTGGATGCTGACCGCGAGGTGTGACTTCGAAGTTGGCTGATTCGTCACACCATTTCCTTCAATCATTCGACATAGGTCATCGACATTGGTGATCTACGGAGATATAGAATCCAAATTTATCCGATTTAAAGCGTACGAAGGCTTTGAAAAATAAGCATATTCGGAAACCCTCAACAGTTACTGCGCCTCAGTGACCAACTGTTTACATGTGATTATCTTTACTGTCTGCCTTGCTCCTTCACGACTATTCTCAGTTTTTTATTCACTTAGTCAATCACCCTCTTCTTTTCGGCCAAATTAATTGCTTCCGGACACTTCTTCATTTTAGATCCCAGTAATGTGTTTATAACTGAATGGTGCAAGTAATCTTCATCTGTTCATTTTCTACTCACAAATGACTACTTTTGTTAGCAATTCGTTATAAAACATGAGATAAGAGGCTTTTTAATTATCTATTCCTTTTTGAACATTTAAGCATGTAAATTTAAGAATAAATATATTGACGATATAGATGACTGCGCTCGGTTCGCAGTAAAATAGCGACTAGTAAAAAAATTTACTAGGGGGATTTGTACGTCATCCACTGCATGTTAGTACTAATTTAAACAAATTGTTGACGAATACATTTTTCGTCGTTTTCCATCAACCACATACGTTTAAAATCATCGGAGGGGAATTCAATCTTACAAACATTACACGACATCCGAACTCAGTACAAGAAAAACAAACACTACCGGAAAGTTCGCAAAGGCATTATAATCAAGAGGCTATAGTAGGTCGACGACTAAGAGTACGGGTGAACTCAAAGTTGTCTAGCTGGGAAACTATGCCTAGTGAGTGCCTTAGGGTACAGTTTTGGGGCCAGGGCCATTCCTCTTGTATGTAAATGACCTTCCTCGTCTCCTATCATCATCGGTCTTGTTGTATGCTGACGATGTCAAGATATGGAGAACGATACGATGTAAGAGTGATAGCTTAGAACTTCAAAATGACCGGAAGAAGTTATCTGAATGGTCTCAAACATGGCAGTTGCCGATAAATACTTCCAAGTGTGTTGTGATGCATATCGGTCATCAAGGTACGGACACATACACAATGAATAACACCGAGCTACCTGTTGTCCAAACACATAATGACTAAGGAGTCATCGTTAGCCAAGACTTAAAAACTACTGCACACTGCCGTGCAACAGCCGCCAAAGGTTTTAGAACTTTATGGTCAATACGTAGGGCTTTTAGTCATGTCGACGCTAAGACGTATTTGACTTTGTATGCAGTGTTCGTACGTCCTAAACTTGAGTACTGCATACAGGCGGCTAGTTTCTGCTTAAAAAAGACAGTGAGACTATGGAAAAGGTTCAGAGAACAGCAACTAAGCTGATTCCTGGAATAGCGAAGCTTCCGTATGATGCTCTACTGGCCACGCTAAACCTTTTCCCGTCGTCATATCGTAGAACTAGAGGCGACTTGATTACAGTTTTCAAATTGCTTAGTGATAAATTTGCACCTCATATGCCATCATTTTTCTTTTCTTCCAAAACAGAGGATTTACGAGGACACTTCAAAAACGTTCACAAGCCCAGAACAAATTACTTGTCATCTGACTATCGACTTTCCCATTGAATCATCAACGAGTGGAATTCATTACCTCAGCACGTAGTTGAGGCTCCCTCCGTCGACTCTTTGAAAAGAAAGTTGGATCACCTGAGAGACCATCATTGCCAGGACTAACCCAGGCCATCAAGCCTCCTGTGCTTTCCAAACTCAAACTGACTAGAACACCATGTCGGAACAAAAAGTATATACTTAATCGATAGACATTTAAAATATGAAACCGTGTCACCGTCTGGAAAAATACTCTGTGGATTAGCACAGCTCAATTGACCCACTCTTTTGATAATCTCTGTCTACCAACATGGTAATTGAATACCAACGACAATATTCGATACATCCCCACCAAGGTCAGAAACTGGTTTGAAAGTATCTGGTTTGTTTTCAAGCAATGTAATTTGTTATTTCTAAGAAATATCCTTAAGGTCTATTCGTGATGGCCAATCAACAGTTTGAACGCACATCAATCAATACTTAACACAGTTTTCAGTCACTTCAGATATATAAACTTAAGCACCCAATATCCCTATTTTGGGGAAATTTTTGGGAAAACTGCCAATTGTCATTGGAATTGGGCGAAACTCCTAGGATCAGGAGATTAGGGAATATCGATGATCTACATTGTTATATTTCCGTAGATGTTGATTAGATGATATTTAACCCTTTCATTATACTCATTTTAAGAGATCGGTTTTAATTTTTTAGATATAGATGGTTTCACTCTATAATTCCTCGAAGTTGAATTTTGGTTTGCCTTCCTATCTTTTAATTTATACTTCATTGTTCATGGGGAAACATTCGCAATCTCCGAATTCTAGTGTCTCTCACTTCAAAACCTTGATATTCTAACATGAGTTCATGTTATTATGTTGTTTGGTTTTGGGAGTTTGGAACATAATTCTGTCACAGTCCCATGCGCATAAGGTTCCCTAGTTTGTTTAGGTTTCCTTGAAACAATCGAGATTCTACGTTAGATTCCCCCGCACGAAAATTTGAAACCCTGATTATTCTTGGAAATTTATCCACAAAATGTCAGTAATACCTCACTAGTTTGTGGTCATAGCTCATGCCCTCAGGAACTAGCGTCACTGTGATACAGGAGAGTAGGTACTCTTCTTTATTATAAGGTTTCGTTAAATTAATTGTTTACTGTGTATTTAACCCAGAACTCTTGGTTCCCAACATGAATGTCAGCCACAAAATACGAACTGAAGTCATTCAAGCTGGTTCTTGAACTTATCAGCTTCTGAAAATCAAATTCACTGGTATAATTATGATTGTAATATGGTTCGTTGGAAGTTTGGTCCTCTCAAATAATCAGGACCTATAAATTAGACATACAGCCAAACTAAACGGGACTAGAACTCGTTTCATTTTTACAGATTATCTTGGAAATTGAGTCGAACTTCATTTTAACAACACATCTTGTCCAATACTCCCTAACTAGTTATTCCGCCTTACATGTCTATGGTGAATTTTTCAGTCCTTAATATTACCCACTATTAGTTATCATGATAGTTGTAGATTACCTACTGATTCCTTTTGAACACAGTCGTTTTAGCCCAAAAACAGCTATAGTTCCTGGAAGTTTGAGTCTAACCGAGTTGCTCTGTTTATTGATCATTTTGGATGGACACATTATATAGACCGGTTGTCCAGGCCTTTAAACTGCAAAGACTTCATCCAATTCAAAGGGTCCGTGTCATGTAAATCGTGTAAAAAGACGGCTATAAATTTGGCAATTTTGTATCACTAAAAACGTAACAATAAGACATTCGTAAGTAAACGAGTAGGCCTACAGTGTATGTATACTATTTTGTGTAACTACAGTCATTATTATATCGTCTCTAGAAATAGTAAAAAATTACCTAGTGACGTTTCATTTGAAATCTAACAGTAATATTATCTGCAAGGTTTAGTCACTAAGATTAACTTTTGTATTGTATTCTTGGTTCATTTCATTGCATCTACCAATGCATTTTCCTTCAATAGCTTAATTATTATGGATCATTTGGAAACCACCTATAAATTTTTGATACCGTCGTTCATGCCAGCCATAACTCATCCCCTGACTTATGCCAGGACAATGATGTTGGTAAGTCATATTCTTTCAAATGTAACTTTTAAGTTGGGGTATGAACCATTTCCTCCTGTTCGTCGATTTACTTTACGTAACATTCTACGTCCGAACTATGAAGTATATTACTACCCAAGTGTTTTCACTTACTGCAAGTTTCTCCAACAATTATCTCATTGTAATTAAAGGTCGTAAACTTCGCCAAGAGGTTGGGTTGTATGGAATTTTCACCATTGGACTTCCTGCTAATATTATTGGGTCATTTGTTAAGTCGTACTCTACCAACATCACTATGGAGGTAAAAAATGCTTAATATACAATTATTATTTGCAAAAGTATTTAACTCCGGACTTTTTTGAAAAGAAAACATTTTTTGAAACTGATAAAGGAGTCAGAATTTTTTTGATCAGTGTAATTTTGATTAATATCATTCTTAACTAACTTACCCTTTCAGACCAGTAAATGTACTGTTGCTCGAGTAGTGGGTGTAGTTGTTAGTTATCCATTCCAAGGTATTCAAATATTAGACGTATTTTCACCGTAAAAAATAGTCATAATGATTCGCCAAATGTCGCAATTTATCAATGGGACACAATTATATGAGTATGAATCACAAATAAATTTAGTTTATGTTTGTCTCCCTCCAGTTGTATTTTCAATGCTTTTCCTACTATACTGAGAAATGAAGGTTTTTTAAGTTTCTTCAGGTGTGTTTTATCTAAATGATATTCCTTTCTAGTGGTTTGACACCTAGATTAATTGGAGAAGTTATTACAGTTTGGTTGACTGCTTGTCTTGCCTATTTTTTCAATAAATATATTTTCATGGACCGTATCGACCCTCCTCTGAAAAAGCACACTCCCTTGGTAACTGAGGTGAGTACACATTATTTTGTTCAGTAGTTCAAGAATTAACTTTTTATCATTATTGAATATTCTTACTAATCGTGATGACTGTTTTTTGTGTACTTTGTGCCAACCGTTTTTACAACAAAGCACTGTGAAAATTAGTCATACATGTGAACTTTATCGACCAAATAAAGAGAAATTACATATAAATGCATTGATGACATATGTTGGTACCTTCGAGTTGACGATGCTATGGTTTGACGTAGAGTACTAGGTAAAAATGGCTAGCCGGTTAACGAGAAATTAGTATTTCATCGACCGAGGTTGTTGGGATGTGTATCAAGTATGCAGAATCACCGCCTACGTTGATGTGTAATAATGTCTGGCGTAGAAGTAGGCTGGAAGGAAGCTAGAGATGGGAAAACAAAGACATTGCATCAACCCACAAAGCTATTGATTGTTGGTTTGAGTCCTGTAACTAGGTTTAGACTACGCGGTTGGGATTCGCACGATGTTAACCAATGGTTAAGAACTCCCATTAACGTCTCGTAATCGTTCGCAGTGAATTCGTTCTTTGTCTCTTCCCTTAGACTAAGTCCCCAAATAGTTTTGGAAGAAGTTTATTCCACGAATCCATATTTTCCCAAATCATATAATATATTTTTAATCTTTTCTACCACCACTAGTACTGTCACTATCTATATTACTCTGACATCTTGATGTGGTGTACCAGCCTGAACAAAGGCAAATACGTTAGATTCTATTTTGCATATGATTGATCCAAACAACAAAGTCCAAGGTTCAAACTTCTGTTTAGGTAGCCAGGTAGTGTAATCACTTTTCATACGTAATTCCTTATACCCTAATACCTATTGAATAGGTTATTTCTTTCCTCATCAGTTAGTCGATAATACAGTAAAACTATAGACTTTGTTTGGACATTCAGTTTTAACTACTAGATCATAAATTCGAATCTTTTTGTGCTTGTCGAGATTTGGTTTTCTGATTTATTGTCTAAAGCACTAGCAAATGATTTGATTTCTAATTTATCTTACAATTCGGCATGTAAGAAGTTGCACTTATTATTTCCACAAATTAAAAAAACTTTTTTAAAGTTCCTCCCTCAGTATTCACTAAAAAAATTCACGATAGATTTTTTAAAATTATTTCGCTGACTTATACTCTCTCATCGGATTATATTCTGGATGCTTGATCTTTTCTATTACTGTTATAACTGTTACTACATTCACTAATCTGGGATTCGCCCTGACAACATCTTTCAGTGTTAATGGGGTATGACAACCTGAACCGGTGTGCTCATGTACTGAGTTCTACTTCGTGTTTGGCTGGCTTTTTCTTTGTGTGTAAGCGTAGCGTTATTTTTAATATGATATAGTGGGTATAAATATAATTACCGTTCTTAAAAATAATTTGCGTTTGTATGTCAAATTGTAACTTCACATACTAGCTGGCTAACTACAAACCAAAGCTGACAAAATGAATTTTTCTGTCGACTGATAATCGTTGAGTCATGTTTAAACCAATTGATTCATAACGAAAATAAGGTTAGTTCAGTATTAATTTTCCACTACATCTAAATCTTTGAAGATCAGTTTCGTGAGTGTAGCGTTAGAGAATACAAAATCACATAGGCCAAATTACTCAACATGAAAAATGAGTATAGTTTTAATGAGTAAACAATGTTTTTACTTGATTACAAGATGAGGAACTTGCGTATTGTGTAGAATGTACCTGATTTTATACAACACTTACAATAAGCTGACATTTATAGTCACGCAAATCTTTTCCAGTTGCTTTTCATGTGTGTTTCTAACTTTTGCTTTCAGATGATAGTAAGTGGCGCCACTCATGGACTCACAGTCACCTCCACAGTTATGGCTGCTTGTGACTCGACGTACGTCATATTTTAGAACACAATCTCTAGTATATATATATGCGTGTTTGTGGTGTGTTTTTATTTATGAAACTGTTGTAATTTTTAGTTATGATTGATATTTTGACCTACCCATCAGTCTCTACTGATATATATATATATATATATATATATATATATATATATATATATCGCTGTTCCTTTATCCAATTTTCGTCTATGAATACGTATCTTTTTACCATATAGTTTTATTTACTATTTCTACAACATTTAAGTTCTTTCTGTATTACTGGATGTCTCCTTGACTCAATTATTTCCACAAGTTTTTTGGTTGCATAATCAGCTGGTTAGTTTCAGAGCATTTTTCTTATTCTTAAATGCTTCATTGTGGTACTCTATCAACTACCAAACAGTTAGCTGTATCCACAGTGCTTACTCTAATATTCATTGATTACCGTAATCTTATGTATCCTTATGGGTGAGTGATCATAGATACTATTTATGTAGTTTGTGATATTTTTAGTTTATAAATTTCTATATTAATCAGTCATTAAAACCCAAACAGTATGAGATTGTTTTTAGCAATACTATCCTGGTTCAAGCGCTTAAACTTTACTAGTAGTAAGAGCCTGTTTTTCGATTACTAATATTTCTGTCGTCTAATAATAGTTTTATAAAAGTAGTCACAAATAACTACTTGGTTTTTCAATTTCTAGTTGAACATTATAGAAAATGCGATAAATAATAACAAAGTCATCGTCTACAAAGATTGACTTCCACACTTCACTTCTGAAAATAAAGTCATTTTGACATGAAAACACCAATTTGTTTCATTTTTACTAATATATTATTAATTTCAGAAACAATCTCGCTACGATTTAAAGTTAAACTTTATGCTTTATACTGTATGAGTAGAACTGCAGCTATGTAAATTTCTAATTATTGTTTTATTATTTTATCTCACCTCTTAAACAAATGGTTCAACCTATAAATTCTAAGATACTTAATAGTTTAATCATTTGTGTGTATCATAGACTTATTTATCCCATTTACTTCGGGATAACATACTTTTAGCATATTAAGGTAGAAAAAGAAGTATAACCACGTAATATGCTAACTATCATGGCTTACTAAAAACGGAATTATTTTGTGTTATAAAGTGTTCAGGAATTTCAGATATTGAAAGAGGACTACTTGATGATCTAAAGGATGATGGATACTCTAGTAGGAATTGTAGATGATAGGTATGGAAGATATCTAGAGAATAACATCAGAAATAGATATTTAATTTTATATGCTACTCAGGATAATCATCGTTGGTTCATTTTTTGTCAGTTATTTTAATATATTTTAGAGTTTGGTAATGTACCAGAGGGAGTAATTAGTAAAAAAAAGATAGAAGGAATTGCATAACTAAGCTGAGTAACCCTGAAATTTCAGTCTATCAACAAATTTGGCTTTTATAATTATTCTCATTGTCTCGTCGGGTTAAATAATTTTTTTTACAAAAAATATTGTTATTTTACAATAACGTATTAGTTTGGTAACTCACATTTCTTTACTCAATGAACATGATGACGATATACCGTTGGAGATAGTGATTATTTTAGAAAAGTTCATGAAACGTTAATGGCTTCATGATAAAATGAAATTATCTTGCCTCACTGTCAAAAGTTGCGACTGTTCAATTAATATTATTTCGATCAAAGATCAATTATTTATTAACCAAAGGTTACATATTTCTTACTCCATTATTATTTAAGTCTTTTCTTATTAATAGTGTAACAAAGGAAACTTATTGTTGAGGACATTATAGACCAACATAAATTTTAGACACAAAATATCAGATTTATATTTTGTTATAGAATGTTTATCTCTTCATTTGCATGCATTCATATGTGTTAATTTGTTATATTCTCAAAACGCATTAAAACTGTTCTTACTCAGATTGTATTTTGATAAGTATTATCTCATAACCACAAGTACAAAGTACAGATGTGATTTCAGGATATACACTCGTAAAACGAGTTTTAACTCACACTTTTTATACTTTTGTTACTTGATCTATTACTCTTCTATTTTACTAACTTATAAATGTTTGAATAGCTTCACTAAATGATATCGTCGAAAATAAAGTTTTCTTTGCAGAACAGCCTTTATTTTTCACAAACGATGTGATTGCTACATTTTCTGTATTCATTATAGCAATTTTAAACAAAATGTGGTAACAGTCTCTGAATATTATCCCTCCATCATGTAAGTTTTTTTATTACGTTAAGTGGTATTGATGTATTTTACTTTTTGTTTGTTTAACAGTATTAACGTCGTACCTGTATTCAACAATTGGTGGCAATGTTATTCCTATCTCAGCCAATCTGTAAGTTTCTTGTTTCTCTGTATTTATGTCGTACAACGTTTTTTTTAACTAATATACCTCAACCTGACGTCATTTGTTCAAAACAGCAGTTAAACAAATCTCAGTCTAGCCATACATATTTGATCTCTAATGGTGTTGCATTCTCTAAGCGAAGTTTTGGTTATCATTCTGGAAAATAGCATTAGCGTCAAGTTGGCGTTAATTTATTGTCTACGAAATTTCACCAACCAGTCTTTTCATCGTAGCTGCGGTATAGGTGGTCCAATTGACATTTGTTTGGTGTGTTTTGTGTTCATTTTTCGAGGTGACGAGACTAGAGCAGATGCCCAGCACCTAAACGTGGTTGGTGAATAAGAAGAGTCAGTTTAGAGGGTTTTTGAAACCGTGATTATAAATCAATGGTGTGCATTAGATTCAGAATCGGCTACCATAGGACTGCATGTCGTGACGTTACTTTGTTATTGATTGGACCTTTCGCTCAAACGCTTGGGGTAGCCCATTTAATCAAACCTCTGATTCGATTTGGGATTTTAGACAGTATCCTAGCCGACACACAAATACGAAGGTAGCTATTGATGGATAAAATGTTCTATTTGTTCTGCTTTACTATTCTTCCGAGCAATATTTACGATTACTTTGCTATTGGAAAATTTGTTTTATACTGACTTAACTTTCCATTCCATTTTGTGTATACGTCTTTCTGCACTAAATTTATTTGTTGTTGCCTAGAATTCTATCCTGTTTAAATGGTCTGCAGTCATGTCACCATTAATTTACTAGTTCTAATAACAGTTTTTCTAAAACCATTTGTGTCATTTAAAATTCTGCGTTCTTACCGTCATGCGAATCGGACAATAAACAGATTTAGCCATGTCTTTGGAAAGACAATGTTGGCGTATGTTGTATATCTGACACTTGTATCTAAAACTCTAAAAAGTACTACAATTCGCTTTTCATCCCAATTTTGAAAATCTACTGCACCTGCACTTATTTCAGGGACCCTGTGTAGTAGGTGTCTGGTGTCAGATCAAACGCCAAAGCGGAGGCATTACTAAGCGACGGAGTTTTCATTAAGAGTCATTTATGTACTATTGGCTTGAATGATCGCATCACAACGCGGAGAAACTAATGTGGGGAAATATATCTCTTCACAATCTACCAAGATTGGTTACAGCCCAACAACTCTTTATGATTTTCCTAGCCACCTCTAATGCAAACAACATATCTTACTCAAAAGGTTCGAAGGTTGATGCAAGCGAATAGCAATTATATGTAATTACTTTTAAAATGCTCCTAAAGTACAACAATAAACTAGCATGTTACAAGATCAAGCAATAGAGAAAATAAGGATTTAGCCCCAGTATAGATAGCTAGTACTTTACGTATAAAATTTGAGAGGAAAAAGCACAAATTTAAATTTACAAAACAAAAACAAAAAGCGTGAATGTTAGATTATTTTTAGCAATTTAATCATCTTCAACAAAACTACGTACATATAGAACTTTACATTCTCAGCTGACCAACCTCATAAAACCGTTTATAATTAATCTTTCTATTTTTGATATAATCATCATTGATAACAGTGCTGCCAGTCACTTCATTCACTGAGAGTATCCTTCTTCAGCTTTTGCTTAACACAGTTAAATGTATGGTTTTAAGCCTGTTACGAGTTACTATACCTTGTAATGCTTCAGTAATTACAATAATATCAATCTCATAATGGGTGTAATATACTGTAGTAAATAACTTCATTCGATCTTATATCATTATTGTTTAACATCTCCGTTAAACCATGTTGAACATAGATTCAGGTGTATTATTAACTCACTAGCCTATTGATTTTAATGAACTCATTCACCACATACTTGGGTATAAGTTACACTCTAGTTGTAAGGGCTAGTGATACTATCTGGTTACCTGCCCCCAAATACCCTCGTACGGTCGAGGGTGGGGAGAGTCCGCTCTCCAAATGCTCTCACATGACCACGCATATACAGCCACTGTCAAGGAAGTCTTACTCACTGCCTCCTCGTGATGGGAGTGTTGTTTATGAATACAAAGAAGTTTTCCTGTTTAATAGTATTAATATTAAAGTAGATCATAGTCACATACATTTTAGTTACTTTTGATAAATAATATTTTCTAGGATATATTGCTAGGCTGTATTTATTTACTTGATCAACTAAGACATTAAATGATTTGCTTAACATCTTTAAATTGCTTTTTTGAGGAATGATAAATTATATAAATTTGTACGTGCTCCTCCGGACTATACTTCAACTGTATTTTCTGAAAAATACTTATTTTAGTGTATGCATAAATAAAGACTTTAATAAATTAACATTTTTGCTTTATAGGATGCTTTTGTTAGAGGATCATCTTTATTCTTCCGACGTGCTCCATCACCATTGTCTAAATTACATGGCTATAGTCAATGAAAATACCTTTAGCTTACATGAACGGGATTACCTGTAACTGTATTGATCTGTTTTTTCTCTTTACTCATATATTCTGTTACATGACTCAAATAAAACATATTTAATTGATTATTTGTTTTCAATACTAATTGAGAATCTATACTACTGCAACCTTTAGTTGACATTAACGACAAATCTCTTTGCACTACTAATGCGGTTAATTACTCATCATTCTGTTTGTGTTTGCATGTATCATGTTATTGTTGAGAATGTTTTCATTGATATGTATTCGTTCACTTGCCGCACTGACAATTTCTTTTTTTTTTTAAAGAATGTTGCACTAGCTTTAATATTGTTTATATTGTATACGTTCAAAACAATCAAGAAATGGTATGTAATTTGTCTGTTGCCTCCTCCTGCCCACCCCCAGTATTATTCCAAACATTATCAGTAAAACAATACTCTTAGTCGAAGATGAATTTATATTACCCCAGTGAATAATTAAGATGAATAGTCTTTGTACAGAAATACACATACTTTTGTTGTAAGAGTACATTTACTGAATCTAAATGAAATACTACTACTATTGCATTTATCAATTAATTCATTCATCATTGCGTACTATGGTGGCTTATTATTGTGTATACGTATCATACGTTTGGTTGTTGCATTTTCTTTTAACTAAAGAATGAGAAACTATGTGCTGATTATAGTACAGTGTAATTCTAAAGGAGTTGTTAAATATGTATCTGTCTCATGTATCGTAATTATGAAAAGAATAAGTTAAGGTATATTTGTAAAATCTAGAAATTCATGATATATTGTAAAGAACCATCGAAAATTATATTCACCTCAATCAGTTGTGTGAATAAAGACATCGACTAGAGGTCAGTAAAATATGTGCAACTGCTTCATTTCATCCTGTGACTCAGTTAAGGTACAATCATTCACAATTTACCATTTTGGAGGTGAACCAATAGGTAAGTTAGTCTTCTAACAACTTCAAATTTTAATCAATTCATGATACCACTCATTTAAGCAGAATAATTAAAAACAAAGATACGAGAATGTACATAGTAAAAATAAAATAACTGAGGAACAGTATTACTGTCAAGAAATAAACTGAATTCATTTTCGTTACTGTCTTCGATCTCGAACTGTATGACTTGAAGTCTTTAGTTATTTATCAGAGTTTTCTTCTAAACTGTGATGGGAGGCCATGGATCTAGCAGCAAAACTTGTACCGCTAGTGGATAAATAGACTGTTTTGGAAGCTTACTACGGTACTTGATAAACAGAATAGTACAATTTACAGGTTAATAGCGTTGTACCCATAGCATGTATCCCATCCTTAATTGTTGATAGTTTACAAATTCATTGGCTAGTTTCTTCTCATTATCTAGTCTTGCCTGGGTCCAGTTGTCAGTAAAACTCATCTCCCTCATCTGAAATCTATTATTATGGTTTTATCACTCTTCTATCAACCTGCATAGCACAATAAAGTACCATGAGCTAACCCAAACCACATTTTTCTAAATAAATTGGTGCAGGATTACCATATCTCGTTTTATTACCATATATTATCTTCCCAATTTTAATTCAAATGTTAGTAAGTTGAGTCTGAGGACCTGAAACTCATTTGTACTAGTGCCTGTTGTATAATAAATACTGTTACAAGACACACATTAAAGCAGAAGTTGAGTTAATTTGTGACCCATACATCAGATATCTGTTACTACCAAGGACAGGGAATCTAATAGTATTATTCTCTGGCGAATAATATTTATTATAATACCTGTCCTCTGGGAATTAAGAGAATAAGCTAGTTTGTAGTTTATCTTAGGTACTACACTGTTTCAAGGAAGTTATTGTATTACAGACTTTTCTAACATCTACTATTGTCACTTGTCCAAATGATCATATTTGTTAATCTATAGTTGTTAGTGACAAGTTATGTTATTTTAATCTACTTTAAGTTTTTGTTTTATTTTTCTCTTCAACTTTGTTAAATGATTTGAGATTTTGCCTCTGTATATCCTTCATAAGAATAAGAACACATACATTTGATTTATAGATATATTATTATCAATAATCTTTATGTGTGTTTCAAGACAGTGGTTACTATAATTAACCTAATAGTAATGAGAAGTAACGTACTCTATTTTCCGGTACATGTTTCTGTAACAAATAGTTTTTTTCATGTACATTTGAGGTACTTGTAATGCCGAGTTATGTTACCACTGTTAGTTTGAAATATATATAGTGGTTCTTGAACATCTAGGAAATAGTAGCGATGTTATTATCACGTATCCCTTGCGGGTTATTTTGTTATGACTTCTGTGTGATTGTTCAACACGATAGCAGTCTACATTTCTCAGTTCCATCATTACTTAATATCTTTATTGTATGTTCTGAAAGCCTTGTTGAACTTGGTTTGCTTCCATTCTCACGGATCTTTGATAGCTGGGGCTTCTATCGATATAAGCATCAAGAAGCTACCAATTCTATGGTATATTTAAAAATAATCGTTTGTACTTAGTGCAATCAAGGTATTCTGTAATTGGAAAAACCTTTGTTCACTTGTTCGCGCCTCCAATATTCACAAGTAGAATAAAAATCTACTTTCCATTAACATAATTAACTGAATATTTACTAATCCATTTATGACCTCTCTCTAGCCAAATAGAAATACCAGCTGTTAGACTTTCTTACAGGTTGATCCAAGTTATGTATCGTTTCCTTTTTAATATTTTATTTCGTCTCATTACAGTAAATATGTCAACGGAACAAATAATACAAAATGAAAGTGACTTACCTCCTCCATACTATCAAATAAATCACGAATGTATTCGTCGTTACAAACGTAGAACTCATTGTGCTTACTTCACATTAATTATATCAGGCATTGTAATGATGCTATTCGGTGCTCTTATTCTCATGATTTTGATACCACAAGAAATCAATTTATATCGATGGAATATAAAAGGACCATTATCAAGATTTTTCAATCACGACAAAACTGTTTTACTAATTAGTATGGATGGATTTCGTCATGATTATATAGAATTGACTAAAACTCATCTGGGCTCTAATGCATTACCGAATTTCGATCGTCTAATATCGGAAGGTGTACGAGCTATGGAATCGATCAATGTTTATCCTACAATTACTCTACCTAATCATCGTACATTAATTACCGGTTTGTATCCTGAAAATCATGGAGTTGTTGGGAATAGTCTACTGGATAAGAAATGGCCAAATAAAACTTTCAGTATATATGATCAGGAAAGCCTAAATCATGCTCCGTGGTTAACTGATTGGCCTGAACCTATATGGGTTACATTGCAAAAAAATGGTGGCTATACTGGTTCACTTTTATGGCCTTTAACTGATCAGTTTGTTAGCGATGATTTACCATTTCAACGAGTTTCACAATATGCTTTACTTAATGACTATGAACACCGTTATGCGTATGACCAACGAATCAGAGATATATTATGGTGGTTGAAAAATCCTAGATATCATTTAAATTTAATTTTAGCTTATTTTGAAGAACCTGATGAAACTGGTCATTCATACGGTCCAAATAGTAAACATGTTGCAAAAGTTGTTCAAACCTTAGATGAAACACTTGGTCATCTATTAGACGGTATCAAAAAACGTGGTCTTTCTGATAAAGTAGATATTATTCTAACTGCTGATCATGGTATGTCTGAAACATCAAATACTCGTCTTATTCCGTTGGACAAATATATTGATCATTCTTCGTACAATTATACTCAATTATCAACTATGGGATTCCTTTATCCTGCACCTGGTAAGTATTCAGTCCTTCATTATCGGAAAAAAACTTCACGCACTGTAATAAACTTTTCTCTCTGAGATTTTCTTCAGTGCGGAATTATCTCATACCCATTAAAAATCAGGACTCATTCAGCTACTGTTTCATCCCGTTCTATAAATCGAACGACACTGTAAACAGTTCGTATGGGATCAAACTCAGGAACTGTTGGTTTGCACTGAGTTCACTCTAGATTCCTAGATCTGATTTACAAACTTTCAAGGGAATTTGTCTTGATCCTCACTAGCAGTGCATTTTCTGTAATCAACTGATTGTTATCTCGCTTCGATTTCATCTGATTTTTTCCAACTTAACAAATCTAACCCCATAAAACTCAATATAATTTAATAACTAATAAACATTGTATGTTATAGTAAACCAACCTAATTAATAGCTATCTGGTGTCTAACTATCAGTGTCGTGCTCGAGTCTCACTGAAATATTAAGTTCCTTACGAATCTATGACAAATAAATGTGTAAAACGTACCTCACCGATTTTACATTTATTCATCGTCAACTACTATTATGCATTATAAAATACACTAATTATCTTTCACTCATTATGGTTACCTGATGTTCTAACTTTTTCGAAACCCTCCTCTTATCATATATATATAACTTCATGTTAGAAATAAGTACTGATGGGAAATTTCAGTTTACTACATTACGTGTAATGCTCGTTGTAAAATTTGTACCTTATGAGGAATGTTTTTAGGATTATAGTTATGTTCAATCAATTGTTTTAATGTCAAATCTTGACAAACTTACCAGTATTCATTCAGAGGTCAGTCAGTAACATATATTTAATAAGAATAAAAGTAAAAATGTAACAGTTACATATTTTTACTCACCATTTTCTTATAATTAGGGAAATTTGAAGAAGTGTACAAACGTCTAAAAAATGCGCATCCAAAATTAGATGTGTATCGAAGAGATGAAGTTCCTACCTATCTGAATTTCAATATAACCAACTCTCGTATGCCTCCATTGATACTTATTGCTAAGCCAAGTTGGAAAATTGTAAAGAACACTTCACATCCTTACGCCAATGTTTGTAAGTTAATTCGGATATTTTCATTTGTTTTACGCTATCAATAATGTTGAGTACTACTACTTTTATTGATCCTAACTTTTTTTCTATTTTTCTCTATGTCTATTAGCTGGTGATCATGGTTATGCAACAGATTTCTCTGAAATGTATCCATTCTTCATTGCAAGTGGTCCTTCTTTCAAGATTGCTGAGAGCGTTCCTACTGTGCATGCTGTAGACGTTTATCCACTAATGTGTGCATTATTAAATATTGAACCAAATCCAAACAATGGCAGCCTAGAACGTATTTCAAACATACTGAAACCTGATGTTGCCAATCGCCTTTTGAATTTGAATAGTTGGTCATATTTATGGAAATGGATCATATTTGATTTGAGATTTATTTTATTTATTTCAATTATATGCGTTTCATTTATGATTTTACTGTGTTCAATTGTAGTTGTGATGAATCGTAAAGAAACCAATGAACCATTCATTCGTCTACCCATTGATAATGATAAAGAGTTTTCAGATTATAATACATGAAGGTATTTAGTAACTATAATTCTTGCTCAACCTCATCAATTTATTTCTATTATTGATTATTAATAATAACACAAACTCTATCATGATTTTCATTTGATGAATCTACAGAAACAAAAGTTTTTTTTATCGTTCTCTAAATCAATATCTATCAACTCGATCCCTTCAATATACATATATACTTAATTAGGGGTATTTTTTGTATAAGATGCATATTTGATTGACAAATATGACTTAAAGATGTTAAGTTTACATTTTGTAAAGAGAATAGTGGTTTAGGCAAATGTAAAAAGCAAAATCTAATTTAATTCATTAGGCAAGGAGATATATTTTATCATTTAGATAAGGATTCATTAGATTCATGAAAGGATGAATTATTTGTGCTGTCTGGTAAATAGTCTTTCAATCCCATATGATTAACGGATGTTAATTGTGCAAAGTTGATTCCAGTCATTTAGTTACACGAAACACAGAACCAGGTACGTGTGTACATTGGTTCAAGTTGCCACACCACATTAGCACAGCGAGATGAAATTGCCAGGGCAAATTCCAGAGTAATAGAGGTAGTAACAGTATGTCATAATAGAACAAATTAGGCATCAAAGATACGATCCATAGCCGACATATTTTTAAGTTTACGAGAATGACTTCTCATATTTGAATGAACTACAACACCGTGTAATTTGGCGATCCTGCTATTCCTAGTAATATCAAATATTTCTTGAAAATAATGCTGCAACTACTCTGTATCACAACTTATTCCAAGGCTTCTTTAGTAGTTTCTAAATCCCAAACATGTGAAACTATCAATATTATTTTTTGTACTTTTTGGGTCAAATAATCTATCTTAGTGAAGGCACTTTATACGAAGAATATGATCCCAACCTTATATTTTATTAATCTATTCAAGACTTAGTCCATGTTATGAAGGTTTGCTGGTTAAACCGAACCTATAAATATATGTATAATCATCCGTTCACACAGCTTTGTCCCTTAGAAAAGAGACTCATATCTTCAACCACTTGCGTGTCCTCCCTTAAGCAATGGTGTTGAATTCTGGTCAATAGTGTGTGGTTATCTTTTGATCTAAGTTTGACTGATCTAACGTATCAGCAATGTGGTTATTTTATGTACGTGATGAAGCCGTGGTGGGACGTACGCTTCCCGTAGTTATATCTGATTATCGGTGAGAGCCACTAGGCTTACTCATACATGATATAATTAGCTTTAATAACTGAATGCATGAGTTAATTGAAGCTACACCGCCATAGAAAACCTGGAAGCACTTTACGGCTGTTTCATCCTAGTATGGGACTCCTCAGCAGTGCACATCCACGACCCCGCCCCGTGAGACTCGAACCCAGGACCTATCAGTTTCGCACGCGAACGCCTAACCTTTAGATCACTGAGCCGCCATCTAGCGGTGTTAATGTCTAACTTTAACCAATCTACGAAACTGCGCTACCGCCAATCATTGTCTTAAGTGACTTACAATCTCACAACAGACCCGGTTGAACTCCACTGGTCACGGCTTCTCACTAATAAATGCAATATCTGCAACCGTGGCGTGTAGTCTAACTATAAATCTAGTGGAATTATAATGGTGACGGGTTAGTGAAAAACGCAGTAACAACGTAGTACCTTTTTCAATGCGTCAACTATCGTATTACATCGAAAATGGTTCTCAATTACATAGAAGTATTTTATTTTCACATTTTTCAATTAACGTTTTTTATGTCAGATTTCAATGAGATAGCGTTCTTTAGATGACAACTTAGCTATGAAACTGTTGTAGAATGACTCAAAGCAAACATTTTTAAGAAGAAACATGAAAACGATCATCTATTCATTAGGAAGATGAATTTAAATTTATAGTTACTTTCGTTCGGTTAAAGCTGGCCTAAAACAATAACATATTGCAACTAAAAAATTTGTCAGTAAAAAGTGATTTGAGCAGATTTAAGAAAAGAATTTAGAAATATGTGGGATTATCGAGAAATGGGAGAGTTAATTAACGCTTATTTAATAGATATAATAGAAATATGCTAAACTAGTTCTAATCTAGTTTATTAACTGCATTGATTCATAAAAAAACAAATAAAAATTCTTAGTTTTTATCCATGGTAAAGTTGTAAACATGGACTAGAATCAATTAAATATAATACCGACAAATTTACTGAAATGCATGAACATCAGTATGTCGTTTTTGAAATGAAAAATACAAATATAATCTCGAACATACAGATGATTGGTTGGATAATCGTCCATTAAAACATCTCTTTCTAAGTTTAGAGTAATTCGTTCAGTATATTTTAGATTTATAAGTCAGGTTGTTGATTTAAACAGTATAATACATCCGACTTTGTACAATTGAGACGGACAAGCATTGAAATATCGCATCGCGATCTTTCAGTTAACAATAGCTTATGAGCTCCAAGACTAGCACAAATAGCAAATACTTCTGATGTAGTTGGACATGGAACACCTGAAAAGGACCAAAAAGCTTGATATAAATGAAAGTCCTTGATGATGCCCTTGGTGAAAAATTAACTTATTGTGACAATATTACTCAGCATAAACTTGTATTTGTCACTGATGACCAAAAAAAGGCCAGTAGTTAATTTTTGACCACCAAAGAGTCTGAAAGTTGCCATATAAATTATGATACGGGAAGGTTAAACTAACATCAATGGTGCACCTAATTGTATCCTAATACAAATAGTGATTATTTCACATATATCTCCTATACTAGAACTAGGATCGTAATGGAAAGGTGAGGGATTTCGATGGGAATATTCACAGAAAGAACTCACTGACGAATGCGAACTCTAATTATAATTGATAGACGAATGAGGAAAAATAAATGTTACAAAATCGGTGAATAAAATTAGCGTAAGAGTGGGCTGTAACTACTCATATAATGTAAATGTGTTGACTTTTGTTAGCGATATCAGAAGTAGTTATAAGAAATTCACTAACCTTCAAGTCGACAAAGTGCAAACATTTGACGAATACACCGGTCTAATCGAGCTTCTTCTGTTGAACGCGCCTGAAATTCAGCTATAACAGCACGAAGAAACAGTTTCTCATATAATGAACAAGCACATATAGCTTCTGATTTCGGTGTAGTGAACATCTCTTTTAAAGCGGTATTGATATGCGAAATATCTATTTCTTTGTTACCTTTCCCAATAGATGAAACAATTTCAGCAGCTCTTTTGCAGATATCAAGAGCACGTCGCACATCACCAGAAACAGCAGCTACCTTACGTGCAGCCAATTCAAGTGCTTTAGGCTGTAAAGGAAAAATGATTTAGAAAGGAATTATAAAGATCTAAATGTGTATGAATGCGAAAAGAAATGCAGGAGAATGAGATTAGTAAATTCATGTCCCCCAACAGATGAATAAGGTCTTTGTCTAAATCTGATTCAGTCTAAAAAAATGATAGTCAACTAGATTGAGTTGACGAAGCAGAAAGAATATTTTTCGAGATTACCCTGAAATTCAGGAGGGCGAGAAAAACCATTCAGAGAATGAAAGTCAGCTTTTTAGTTCAGGTGTGAGAAAACGATACAGAATGTGTGAGTCAATGAGAATTGTGTCCCAGATACAACTAGTGGAATAAATTAAGTGGTTAAAAAAATGCGGAACGTCTAAATAATAGACCGAGCTATATAATGGAGCTCAAAGTGCAAAATCGAAGTTATTAAAGTAATTCTACTCAATTAACGGGCGATACTTTAATTTATGGACGACATTTGAACGAATCTCAGTGACTTAGGAATTTCAGGCTATCAAAAAACAGTTGGTATAGAGTAAGAATATACTAAACAAAGCCGGAAATTTAGACTGGATACACTACCCTAGCGTGATTTATAAACTTTTCCAGGTTAGAAAGAGGTTCTACAGTTCTGAAATCGTGATGCATATGGTACAGGAACTCATATATGTGACTTCACAAAAACCTACCTCTAAAGTCGTGATAAGGTCACAAGAATTCTTTTAGTCTCGGTCACAGTGCTTCTATATTACTGGTGTGTACTTCTGTGGTGGAGTCTACAAGATGTTTCATGTGAACGACGAAACTACATATATGCCCTCCAGTCGTCCGTGTATGTTGTGTTACTCGGTTGCACATACTCCCGTATAGCTTGTATTAGCGTTTTAGCCTGTCGGTTTCTGACCTGCTGGAAATGTCCCTTTGTGTGATGACCTAAGTGTATTTGAGGAAGTACTACGTACCTAGTCTTCTCTAGCACTTCTTTCTCTGATGAATTTGCATTTCTAACTACTGTTTCATCGATCTCTACGATTCTCCCGATTCCCCAAAACTACTGATTCAAGGTCATCATCTTTATCGCAAATATATCTCTAAAGTACTCAAACCACTAAACTGCCGAAGCTTCATTAACATTTTCAAAGGTTACGGCTAGTGTTACTAGTGCTCTTATTATCCAGTTTACAACAATTACCATTAGTGTCAATCGGGGCCGAGTGAAGAAAGTTCCCGCTCTAGAAGATTTCTTCCTTCAATACATATTACCTCGAAATACAGTATCGTCGCAATAGTCTGCACAATGTCCAGTAGTCATTTGAATAGCTCAATCACAAGTAAAAAGGCTTATCAGTAATCTCATCTATTGTAGCCTCTCAATGATAACGCCCTTGAAATCTTCTGTAGACCGATCGTACGTATGTATTGGGCACTGAAATAGACCCCGCAAGCTTGAAATTGCTTACTCTCTATCGACTGGCTCATCCACAAATCATAGTCCTGCCGCGTATAGCTACAAAAGCTGTTACTAGACATATACTTAGCAAATTTATAATCTTAGGTACGTAGCCTACTTTTTGTAAGTTTTTTTGTCTAGTCTATTGTACTTCACATAGTCTGTGAAATTATCCATAGGAAGCATGACAAACAGGATTAAAAACATCTTTCTGACATATCTCAATAATATAAAACTGATATAACAATAACCAACGCAATAGATTCATCATAAATTGTGAAATCATCACCATGTTATATCTCCCTAACTTATGGTCGGATACTTCGCATCATTCATGAAACGTTTTGGGCAGTGTTATATGGATATCGGAAATCTGGGTACCTGTAAATTCTTGCAAACTGTCAGTATCATAATAGAATCTACTAGTTAGTAAGATACATGATACCATGTTCACTACAAAAGAATCGTTGAGTTTCCTTAAGTGCATGAAACAGATCTAAGACTTTTCAGCAAAAGTATAAGAATTTAACAAGAGGGTTTGTAAATACAGGCACACCACTTAACGCACAGCACGTTTAGATACACATTGTCACATCACTTTAAGATGACTACAGCCGAGGGTGAAGAGAGTCCGCTCTCCGAATACTCTCATAAGACCATGCGTATACAGCCACTGTCAGGGAAGTCTTACTCACTGCATAATCGTGATGGGAGTGTTGTTTACGAAATTGAGAGGACGAAAAGCGAATGTCCGACCCATTAACCGGATTGGTAGATATGGAGGATCCACCTAGAGGAGTTGGAAAACCCTGATTCCAAAGCAATGGTGCTCATGGGCTCCAGCATCCTGAGGGAACAAATAGCGTATGAACCTACTGTTGGTCACCGGCTACCATGGAACTGCATCTCCTAACGTTGCTCCACTGTCTTTTGGAACAGACCTCTAAAACAAAGTATCCGGAGTGACCTCCTAAGAAAACCACTTGCTTCGTTTTGGGCACCCGAGTAGTATTCCAGCCATCATATAAATCGAACGATTTGTGTGGCGCATACATATTTGGTGCCTCCTTGTACCAATGTTTATGTGTTTATATAAATAAAATAAACAAATACAAATGACCACAAGATATTCGTCTAACAAATAATGAAAAAGGTTATAACTAAAATAAATAATTTATATGGTTGATGTCAACATGATGAATGAGGCGGTAGTGGTGATCAATGAAGGTAAATGAATAAAAAGTAAAACTAAGTTAATGAAATTAATCCATCTACTTAACTATTTAAATTTATAAATTCGAGTAACAATAGTGAAACAGATATTTGAAATGAATCATTTCTGACAACCTTTACACTGGAAAGGATATGGTGCAGTTCCGAAAAACTGAGTTAAGCATAACTGTGTATAGGAAAATATAAGGGAGCTCTAAAAATAAAGTTATCAAGTAAAAAACACTTACCTGAAACATATTTGATAAAGACGATAAATGATGTCGCACAATTTGAGCAAGTTGTTCGTGAGAATAAGGTGCGAAAGTAAGTCTAGTTAAGCCTAAACGACTGGCTACTCGTGGATGAAGTAAACGTTCCGGTAAATCCATGGTATTGGCAATAGCCAATACTATTAAAACACGATGGTTGTTATGGCGTGTAGGCCAATCAAAAAGACTGTAGAGTATGTCTTGTCGACGAGTACATAACAAATCCAATTCATCAATGACTAAAACAACTGGCTTTTCAGAAACTTTACTATGAGATACTTTTTTAATTACATTATGACAAAATTCTTTTTCTAACAAGTCAGAAGCACATTTTGCAGTTGCAGTTAAACCAGTTAGTTGCTAAAAAAGATACAGAAATCAAAGTGTACTAGGGTCAGATGTGCTGGTGATATACAGAACAATGATAGCAAGCAATTCTATTCCAGATAAAATGGAAGAGTCACACAACTGTACATGAGTATGTTGAGATGTAACTGATTTATTCTTTTTTTTCTATTAACAGTCTTATTAAAATGAATCTTTACGTTTTGTATTATCATATTGTGGTGTATACTACTTGTACTGACAGATATAAGTAGTGTATATCAGGAATCGAAGGCAGATTTCCTACGAACAAAAGGGGAAAATGGAGAGAAGACAAAAGAAAACAGAAAGCGATCGAAATGAAGCAGGAACAAAAGAACGATGAATTCTGTACGGGACAATTCAATGAAGATGGATAAATAGTGTATTTAATGTATTATCCTCATATTTTACAAATACAGTGTGTGATTTTGCATAATACAGTAAATTGGTTTATACTAAACCGAATCTTCATTCATTACATTACAGTAAACAAATTCGAACGACTGTACAGTAACTAAATAATACCACTTAACGACGGTTTTCTCTCGCTTACCATCTCGACGAAAAAGTCAAATAGTACATAAGTATAATTAATTTATTCATCAGGTACTTGGGTGTGCGCCATGATATTTACTACCTAGTTACATAAAATGAGGTAGGAGCAGCAAGTTTCAAATTTGAGACTTAATGGTTGAAAGTTGAACGCCTTAACTATTAAGCTACTGCTTCTACAATAAAATTAGATCACTGCTTATGTTACTTATTTTCTCTTAATTTTCCAACAAGAATGCCCGTGAGACTAACCCAGAACCTTCAGTCTCCAGCAAATGCCTAACTTTTAGTGGAGTCCAACTGTGTTGGGTGTAAGACAACTACCCACCGAAGACAATAGGTAGTCGCGCAATACCGTGAATTGGGTGATGCTAAACATTAACACCGCTGGAGGATAACTCAATGGTCTGTATATTAGGCGTTCGCGCGAGACCGAAGGTCCTGGGTTCGAGTCCCACGTGTGGGATCGTGGATGTGCACTTCTGAGGAGTCCCATACTATAACGAAAAGGCCGCCTAGTCCTTCCAGGTTTCCAATTGTGTTCTAACATTGATCGGTCCATGATTTTGATCGGATTCAACAACCTCTACAACCCCATACTGAAAATAAATATACACCTAATTACAAACATAAGTTATCTTGGTCAATGCTTATGCTAGTTAACATGCAGCTCACAAGAAATTAAAATAATACCAAACTAATAACGAGTTTGAAACATATATAAATATCCTAACGTGATGCTTGTGTTCGCCTATCACAGACAGATGATGATCTATGTTGGTTGTAATTTTTGTTTTCTTAAGGTTCCATCATGACAGAATAGATCAAAGAATGGAAAACAATACACAAGCTATCGTCATGACGACAGTTTGAGTTCAAAATAGGAATGTAACATTAGCAATGTCCTCCTAAAGTGGTCAATATATTTGGCTTATGCTATCTCTCTAGCCTGGAAAACCGAAGGAGATGGTCGACCCCCAAGGTTCTGGATTTTGCTATTAATCCTCATCTCAGGTTGTAAAGTTTTGTTAGAAGCAAACGAAACTACCAATTTTCAAAAGCCGATTTTTCACTAGATGTCCCTTGAACTTTATGTTAGTGCAAAATTAGTTATTCTGCTTTGTCAGAGAGTTCAGGATATTAAATAGTATTGTTGTGTATGGCACTTCTATTGACAGACATAAGTAGTATGTAACACCAACCAGAAGTGGAACGAATGACAGCAGAATTTTGAGAAGATCGATTCGAAGAAAACAGGAATGTAAACAGAGAGTAATTGTAATAACAACAGGAATAAAAACGATGAAGTTTGTAAGAAATAATTGATGGAAGATGTGCAAATGAAGTATTTAATGTATGGTTTTCATATTTCACGAAAACTTTCTGTAATCTGTATGAAACAATAAATTGGTTATCCCCACCAAGTTTTCGTTCACTACAGTATGGCGTGGGTAGTAAGCAAGGATAACTTGTTCACGGCTCTATTGTTCACCATTGGTGGTAATTTTCTTTCTTTATTACGTGCTGATAACCTGATTGCTTCCACACAGATCTGTAACCGTTATCAGTGATTAAAACGTATGATATATGATTTGTGTTGCCCTGAAATAACGCTAACAAATTCACATGCAAACACTAAGTCGTAGACAGTGAACCTCTATAGCTATAACTTAGCCATACCGAAGCACAATTGTACCATGAATGACTAAAAAAGCATACAGGTTATTAAGGATATTATTAAGACGTGGTGGAGGACAGGGGTAGCTACTTCTTAACTGACTCCAATTTGAGTTAGACCTATGCGATATCCCATTGTTCTGTGTCGTTTTGAGAAACTCACTTTTATTTCTGAATTCCACGTATGGATGTACAGGGTCAAGAATGGATCAGGCAGATAGCTGTCATTCTTACTCCAAAATACTAACACTAAAATAGCAAAGTTGGTGATCACAAGAATATCTGAACATTGAACGGAACAATCCAATCACTCGATTAACCGACGTACGGGCAGTTTATACATTTTGATCGTAGTATGTCACAAAAATTTCGAACTTCAGCAACTAAGGTAAATTAATTGACATATGGACTAATTTAATAAGTTTCGATGGGTGGAAAATTTACAATGTTAAAGAAAATATTTCCATATTAATGTTTAGAACACAATGTACCTTACTTCATATATCTCCACGTAAACCTGCTTAGGATCACTGACACGCATGCCATTAACATAGATTACTTGGAATGTGGGTATTTGGCTTTCCAAACCTGAATCAACAACCAATTTATGCATCGTTGACAGCACCGCTTGAACTGATGCTGTTTTACCAGTACCCGGAATACCAGATATATACATACAGCTTTAACGAAATTATATTAAAAAGAAACATGATATACATGTCAACAAAGTTCGAAAAGAATTATTAACAAAGAACGATCCCACTTCACGTATGGGAATAATACAAATAATATTACATTCACAGATAAACAGATATAGCGGTAGCTCACATAGAAGTCGGGATGTATTAGCCTGTGTTAATTGCAAAGTTGTGAAAAGTAAAATTAGATTTATTATGTTTATACTACTGTTACAAAGAAAAGTACATTAAGCAGAAGTTATATTAATTTGTTTAGAAGTATTAGTAGCAGAATATGGATATTCTCCGCTTATTTATAGAAACGTAATGAGTTTGAGGTCATGACCAGATATCGTTGAGAACTTAAACGTCTATATCAGTGAACTAAACCGCTTTCTACATTTATTTAATTCATTTTCTAAGAAAATTTTTATCCGAAAGGTACAATAGTGAAAATAAATAGTATTACACATAAAATACAAAACTATAAAAAATATACCCGCCAGAATTTTGAGATAGTTTATTGAGTATGAATGTATAAATATTTTCAAATTCTTGTTCACGACCAGGTAACCATCCATATTCCGAATTCGTAGAACTATATAAAAAATGAAATATTGATTGAATATGCCTTTGACTAGAAAATGCATTATTGTAAAAACTATGATCATAAAATAAGTAGTTACATAAATAACTTGCTTTACTGCTTAGTTTGCAAGAATATTATTATTGGTGTATTATTAATAATATTATTAGTTAACAGTAACAAACTTATAGTCAAGTAATCTTAGAATTAACAAGTTAACAAATTCGGTGTGGATAATCAACTCAACGGAAAAACTATGAGCTATACTTGATAATTCAAAAGTTTGACTTACCTTAAATTAAGAAAAGACTCACCACGGGACACCTGACTAAGAGTGCGCTTCCTATGGGCCGATACAGAGCCTTTATTGGCCTACAATAAAGACAGTATGTATCATTCAGAGGTATCCTATTATCATGATACGAATACTGGATACTTAATGAACACACACAAATACGCGTGTAATCAACGTAATTATAATAAGATAGACAATTAAATGTACTTGATTAATAAATATTTATGATTAATCTTATGGATGATTTCAAAGAAGTGCTCTTTAAACTTGATCATTTTACAGGAAAAATTGTCTACTTGAAATACTGAAAACAAATTAATGTAATAATCAGTAGAACCATTTTGAAATATATAGGAATCTATTAATTTAGTACTTTTGAATAAACAAAAAAAAGGTTGCAAAAAAGCCGTAACTGAAGCCACTTTGTTACGCAACTAAGTCTAATCAAATCCAGTTTATTTTGACGAGTGAAGATGAGATCCATACTATTAATGTTTTGAGATTTCGTCCACGAACTCAGCATTAAGCATGAGTTCAATGGTTCAAACATTATTATTATATTTTTCATATAACGGAAAGTCATTGACTGATGTTCTGAGTAATGTTGGTAGATGTAGAATTACTGGTTGAAAGCAGTACGATAACCGCTATCAGCGTTTAGAAACTGCGTGAAATGGCTCAGAATTATAAGATGGTCGAGAAGATTTGTAGCTCAAGTGGATGATTTAGGTAGATTTCTACCTGAAGTTTGTGCACATGATGTTGTTCAGAAGAACAATGAAAGTCCCATGGTCGAACCAACCAACTCAGAGAACAAAACTTCGCCTAAGGCTCAGAATTATTCACAGTAGCGTATGAGCGGTAACTCTTTATACTTATCGTGATCCTTAACTCCAGTTTTCCTTCTTACATACATTTCCGCTCCATTTTTTCGAACTATCTTCCAAATGTTCAGTCGTACTAATTATCATTGCTAATATATCGTTTCAAATTCGACTTCGCTTGTTATTTTCATTCCATCGTTCTAGTGTAGTATGATAACTTAGATCAGCGTACATCTTGGTTAGGCTGTGTGTTGATGATAACTGACTGAACATATAAGGTTAACCATTCAAACATAATCCAATTAGGTAGGTGTTAGCTCAAAGCCTGGTGGTTAATCAGTTGAATGTCAAGATAAATCTTGTGAATATGATGCTGACAGATATACAGAATTATTTCAAAAATTAATAAACAGTTGAAGTTTAACTTACACACACATTGAGCTTTGTTCTTCTTACAGGGAATGACTTTATTATAGGACCTTTCAACCTGTTTCTGTGTTGAAATTGTTGTTCAGTAAAGTCGGAAGAATCTGATGAATTACATGTCGAAAAACTTGATTCACTGGTCGAGATAGAACTTTCATCATATGAATCTTCGCTATCCATCGGACTGATTATGATTAATAAAACATGTCTTTTTGATTAAAACAAATGAGTATGACACCAGTACTAAATAATATAATTGGTATGAAATAGGTTTTATGAATTGATGGGCAAATATTCAACTTTTGAAATGAAAGAGAAGAATTTTGATAGATGGATGATATTCAATTATGCAGTGTGCTAAAATGAAAACTACCGAGACCGGACAATTGGCTCAAACTCTCCAATGAATTCGTATAAGAGGCACGATCACTAGACAGAAGAATGGGTTTCTCTTATAATAAAATAACATAGGTTAGAATTACCAACCTGGAAATAATGTAATTAAATATCATGAACGATACGTTGACATCAATTTTATAGGTCGCTAACTCTTCGTTGAATTAAATGTGTTAGGCTTCCCCATACATCAGTAATATGTATGCATGCACAAGTTATGTTTGTTAGTCAAATCTGCCGTTACATGTTTTGATCTCCGAAATCGGAACAAGTCACGATATCCCAATGTTCAAAATATATACACACCTTGATATATGCGATATGACGCTACTCTGCCTAAATTTTAATGACATTAGGTGACGACTTCTTTCGACGAATAGCGGGAATAGGATTTACTCAATTGAGTTTCCACATACACAACTGGGAAATATGGAATGAACGCTTAGGTAATGCTCAATAACCCTTAATGTGTATGACCCTACTCCTCACCAGTTAATAACGAAGTCAGATGTTCCAGGATAAGGACCTTCAGATGCAATCTTCACGATCACATATCCAAAATCTTTAAACATCAGGTTCAAATAGTTCACAAAAGACTGGTTCTTTGTTGACGTTTCGTGTGCCCATATGATATGACCATAATCACCCCTTACAATAGTATAATGTGCACGTACGAGAAATTCTCTGAAGTATCCGGGACATTGAACTTGAATTCGAACGCGCAGAGTGCCACTTGTTGTGACGATTATAGGAAACTATGTCAACGTATACGATGGTTGTATTAATAAAAGTATGATGCAAGCAATGTACAATAGATTTGAAATAACGTATACGGCTGGAATTTGAAGTTCGATGGAACTTTACACTTACTATAGTTTATCTCTTCGGATTTTACTAACATAATAGCATAATTAAAGGTCTATAGAAAAATTAGGTATCATCTATCTTTGCTTCTTGGTTTGTAAATTTTTCACCGAATAAAATGCGCATACTAGGTTATGTCTGTCTGTTCAATTCACGACTTAATTGCAAATGATAAATGATGATAGCTGACTGAGTACCACTCATATTTGTATTATGTTTCATAACAAACATATGCGAAAATGCTATCTCATATATATAAAGGGATTTAAAATTAGTAACAGTCGTACGACTAGGTTCAGTATCGATATCCAATGAAACCGAGACTTTGTTCACTTTCTTCATAACTCCGAACAACAAACTGAGTTGAATTCACATTGTTCGTCTTCATTCCAGAAGTTCGGTGTGACTGGCTAGACTACCATTATTACTAACAAACTTACATATTTTTATTTATGCTCCCCAAAACGCCCACAAACAGGTTACACAAATCTATTGACAGCTATACGTTACGAAAATATGAGTTCGTAATAATAAGGTGAAAATCTAAAATTAATTTCATACATCCCAGACAGTAGCGAAACACGGTTTGAATTAAACTAATCAAATTCCACAAGTTGTGATAGAAAGTAAAACACGGAAACACGAACAACAAGTACCTAGCTTGTAGTACAGGATTAGGATCCTGCCAGTCTTGTAGAAGTACTTTGCACTTCAAAGGTGCAAAGCACATACCACACCTACGGACACTGATTGCCAACTGATTAAGTGCTCACCCTGGATGGTGAACAGATAGAAGTAGTCAAGAAGTTCGTGTATCTAGGTAGCTGCATAAGTGAAAATTCCCATTTTGCCATTTGGTAAATAAAGAAGGGCAAAATGGGAATTTTCATTATATTGAAACGTTCTGAGCTGCATAAGTGCTGGTGGTGGCGTGAGTGATGAGATCATTGTACATATAGGGAAAGCCAGAGCGGCTTATGCCAATCTGGGCCACCTTTGGCGCCTTCGTGATTTCAGTCTGGCTGTAAAAGGTCGGATCTACAACGCGTCGGTGAGAGCACTTTTGCTCTATGCTTGTGAAACCTGGCCTCTCCGAGTTGAGGGTGTTAGACGACTCTCTGTGTTCGATCATCGTTGTCTCCGAAGGACTGCTGACATCCAGTGGCAACATCATGTCAGTAATGCAGAGGTTCGGCATCGTGTGATGATGATAATGCAATCGATGTCACCATCTTGAAACACCGACTTCGGTGGCTTGGACATGTTCTACGAATGTCGTCCCAGAGAATGCATTGTTCCGTTGCACTATTTAAACTTGGATTAATTTTAATTTGGTTATTTATTCTCTGAAGAAGTGACTTACACTAAGTCACGAAACGTCAGAAAATCTAATTTTCTACTCATTATGATATTACAAATATATTATTTTTATTTATAACATTCAACCCAATGCTCAATTTATTCGAAATTATCAAATCCAACCTTGGTAATGATACCTACTTCTTTTACTTTCTTCATAAAAAACAAAAAGTGGTTGTATCTTCCTTAACTGAAAGATTTCTTCTGAGTGTACTTTTCCGTTTCCCCCATGATTACTATTATTATTATAACACTACCTTATACTAATCCGTTCGTTATTGTTCTTTTATTTCTCTTCGAATTATCATTGTTTTGTGTAACGCATATATATTTGGTGCCCTCTTGTACCAATATTTATATGTTCACATAAATAAATAAATAGCTTGTAGTTTCAATACATAAAAGATCAGCTAAATTCATAGATAATGTTCAATAAAATACGATATAGATATAGACAACTAAACCAATAAATACTAAATCGTAATACCACAAAAACATTTTCTATAAACAATTTTTTATAACCTACCATTGAGAGTTCGTATTTAAGATGCTTCCTCTTCCTGGAAAATGAGATTTAACAAGTAGTGAGTATTACATCTATCCAGGATCAGAAAACATGCGAAATCCGATGAGAATATACATAACAATTATTTAAATTCAGTATGCTTATATTTTACCGCCATTTTTACGAAACGAACCGCAACTAGTTATCATCCTTGAGATTTCTATTTTGCTAGTATCCTCTAAAAAGGACGCGTTGCAGAGGGGTGTGATTAAAAACTGAGGATATTCACAAAATTCAGTCGAAAATAAAGCTATTCAGTATCACAGCAAGATGACTCCACTAGTATATTATCTAACAAAGTATCGTAAATCAAGAGCGCGCACCAAAGGGGTGCATATTAATAAAAATGAGAATAAAAAATGGCTGAAAATTTTTTAAATGGTTTTATAGGGAATGGAGTACGGATATAAGTGACAGGAAATGCAAAGATACCTGAACTAAATTACTATCAATTATTTTTAGTGAAAGGACGATAATA